CGTACTCTCTCTCTCTCTCTCTCTCTCTCTCTCTCTCACTCTCTCTCTCTCTCTCCAGTGCATACTGAAGAAAAAGCTAAAAACAACGACAATCAATTGCAGCTGTCGATCGAGTTGATCCATGATTGAATTCCCCTCGAATGTGATATATGTTTCTAGAGCAAAATTGTTTACACCTTCTGCAACTATTTCTGATATGCCTCTCGATACTTTTCCAAGAAAACAATCTCCTAAGCTTTTTCTAAGAAAACAATCTTGTGTGGATCTAACTATGAATTGCATTGGATGCCCAAATCTTAAGATTTTTCCACTTAATCTCTACCAATAAAAATACCTTCTTTTTTTTTCTCTTACAATCTATTTTACTTCTGAATCTTTGGTCAGCTTAATGAGAAAATGACAGAATAAACGAACTGATATATTATAGAATGCTGGATTGGAGAACCTCAAACTATGAGAAAGTTTAAAGCAAAGAAGTAAATCGAAATCAACAAATATGCATCTCAAGAATGAACAAATTGCAGGACATAAATAACGTACTTCATGTATAATATGAGATATTTTTCTTTGGTACAAGATGGTCACAGTTAATTTTGACCATTGGATGTAGAATTTGATGGCTGCATTTGTTACATTGACCAAACTCAAAGGTCAAAACAAATTTTCTTGAACTTTGTGATACACTCAAGCTATGATATTTCACATCAGATGGCTGTAGTAATTGTGACCTCTTTATATCAAAAGTAAATAGTCTCATTGTATGTAATCTTATGAAACATTTCTAAACCTTAGAGGTTGTAGAAGAAAGAATGGAAGTTCACTGGACAGATGGTAGGAAATGAAAGATGTCACTTTGACCAGCTCAATTCAATGTCATAAGGGTTCCTCACTAGGTTATCATTTGAGAAATCTTGGAGGATCCAAGGGATAATACTGCACGAATTACCGATCTTCCATGAAGACGTTAGTTTGAATGGAGAGATTCAGATTTTTCTTTTATAAAAAAATAAAATAAAATCTAAGATCAAATTTTTTATTTTTTATTTTTTTTGGTCTTTTTTTAAGCCATTATCTTTCCAATTTGTTTTTTATTTATAAATTTTGTAATAAAAAATCAATTATTTGTACATAAATCAAAAGTTAGAACTATTTCTAATTCACCCCTACTGGGACTTTGCTTAGGCGGGAACATCACCATGTTATGAAAAATCTATTTTCTCTATTTTTTAACTTTCTCTCTAAATACTAGCCGAATAGGCTGATTCGAGTTAGACCCAATAGGTGACATGTTCAAGTCCTCGAACCATGTTTTTAAACACTGGTTGAAAATATTTAATACATGGAATGCTCTCCTATGAGAAAACTGATATACTAAAAAGATAGAGAATATTAGATAAGGGTGCGGTTTGTATAGAGCCCAGGCTCTAAACAATCAAATTAGAGCCTACCTTCAAATAGCGTCGAGAAATATGGTTTCAATATTGGAAATCTTTTTGATAGCTTTAAAATATATTTTCATCTTTATTTATAAAGTTTAAAGCTTCAAAAATAGTGTAGATCGGGATATCTATGAAAACTCGAGAATCTTGAAAATTGACGGTCCAAATATGCATTACAAAATACACTATTTTCAATACTTGAAATCCATTTTTTTTCTCATGTCCATGCATCTTAATGTTGAGATGATTAATTTGAAGATATTTGGGCATCATGACAACCTCTTCTAGTAAAATTTTTTAGGTAGGTTCGAATTTGATTGTTTAGAGCCTCGGCTCCATGCAAACTTTTCCCATTAGATAATCGGGCATGAATTTCAATAAACAATTAAAAAGTGAATATGCTGAATTGTATTACAAATTTACAATAGTCAATCACGTATGTATACCTACACTCAATGTCCTCGAGGACATATCACTTTTAAAGGCAATTTTGTTTAGGTGAAGCAACCCTACTTATTGGCGCCTACCGAGCAGTAGGACCATTAGTGTGGGAATTAAAAATGAGTAATGATCCTATGAGCCCTCACACATACGGGGTGCATAGGACTCCATTCTTCTTGTGCCATTGGATCTGAATCCAGATTTCGAGAAAAGATGAGGATGGCGGCTCTCCGTGGTAAAAAGGAATTGGGTGAGATAGTTAAAGTCAAGTCGGGATTGTATACTATGAGACAATTTATCTTCATTACAAGGAGATCACAATTATTCTTGGTTATTCGATAAGGATGTCACAATTATTCTTGGTTATTAGATGGCTTGAGGTGTATCACAAATTTCGAGAAATTTTTTTTTAACTTTGAGTCTAGTCCATCAAACTCTTACCACTACTTAATTTCAAATCTGATGGACAAGAGTGTTTATGACCTTTTTGTACTAAAAGTAAATAATTTATTTGAATATTATTTCAAGTAAAAAAAAAAAATCTAAACGAGCTTCCATTGGACTCTTTCCTAATGAAGCGCTCTCTCTTTCTCTCGCAGGTTGATCAAATGATGAAGGATCGAGAGAACAGGCCCCTGCCTTTTCGTAGTTAAGAGAAGCCAGACATAAAGGCAGGGGCAGGGGCAGCCACACTATTATATGCTTTCTTTAATTTGTAACCCATTGTCATTGTGGGATGCTTTGAATGGGGTTGAGGTCATCGTGGTAGTACCACCATGTTCCAGTTGAAAGTCATGGCTTCCATTCTCAAATCTGACTATTTCCAATAAGATAAACTTTCTATAAAGCCTAGGCGTTATGAAAATCAAATAAAATCTCACCTCAAATCTTTATCTAAAAAGCAATTTCGGCAACAGAAATCTTCATGATGATTCTAAAATCAATTTCCAATGCTGAGAATAAAATTTGAAACTAAAAAAATGTATAGATCTTGTCGATCTTTGAACACTTATTTTTAAGGCAAAATGGATGATATATATAATTTGTTAAAATATACTTTTTTTTTTAAGAGTTTGAACTCTAACATTTATTCACAACCACAACGTTTAAATATCGATGATTGATGTAAAGGTTTTTTAATAATTGAATTACAACTTTTGATGAGTTATTAAGTGAGGTTTTACTTATTTTGATAGGGCTGCAGCTCATCAAACTATTTTCCTTTCCCAAATGGGTAGGGGCGAGTGATCCCAGCTCATCTACCAAAACCTATGGGAAATGGGCATTTGAAAAAAGAGATGGGTTACGGTAATAGCACCCCATCACGTTGTGGTTTTCATTCTCACATACACCATCACACTAACACCTTCAAAATACTTACTTTAACTCCTAATTTGTTTAGAAAAACGGTCTTCCCCGCTCAATTACTCAAAAAAAAATTGAAAAAATCAAGAGACGGTTACTTCATTGAGAGAGAGAGAGAGAGATGGGTTTACATCATATTGAGCCGGTTGAATTTCTCAATGTGGGAAAGCCCGGAAAGTTCGGGTCTTCCGTCTATTTACCGTGTGGAGAGAGAGATCCACATTAAAACCATAAAAATTTTAAGAGAATAAATGATGGATAATAGGGTGAGCGATGGAAATTTTGTCAGCCTTTTCCAATAAGTTGGCATACTCATCTCTCCTCGAGAATTGGGTGCAGATCTGAGAACGTCCTATGGAACCCAATTGTGTGAGGGGCTGATAAGATCGTTACTCTTTAAAAATATTTTTGATATTTTTATATATTATATTTATATTTTATTTTTTAATAGCACATCTACTATAATTTTATATTTTTCTATATATTGGATTGAGCTAAAAATTTTATGTATCTCACTGTAAAGAAAAAAACTAAAAACAATTACATAAAAAAAAAAGAAAATATTAGTATAAATTCCATAAATATTTTAATTTTTATAAAAAATAATTATTTTTATATTTTTGTAAAGATGCATTATGGTGAGAAATATAAAGATCTAAAATTTAGATTCATCATGATATAAACCTGGAGTAGCTGGCTTTGATGGTGCCTCCAATTTTTTATCTTCTCTCGTTTCTTCTATATAGCTCGGACTAAATATGCAAAAAATTGTGACATAAACTTTCCACTTCCACATCTTTTGTTATTAATCAAATTGGGAAGGGACCAAAATCCCCGCTGATTTACTTTAAAAAAATAAAAAAAATAAAAAATAAAAAAAACGGAAAGAAATAAGAAGGTGGGTTCATTTTATACATAGGGAACATATAGATATGCTTTACGTGATTTTTAAGCATGAGCTTTTCTTGGAGGGGGAAATTCGAAATATGAGTGCAGATCTTGTGCTCCGGAAGGAGTATATTGTGAACTTACTTCCTCATGTAGT